TAGATATTTTAATACACTTACACTTTAATGTGTCAATTTCTTACCAAATAAGCATAACTTACGTCTTAACATCAATGATATGATCATAAATCATCATTATACCTAGAGATCTAATGTGTTGATGAAAGAAAAGTAATGAATAAGTACAAAATTAGGTGCATTATATAAAAGAAAATGCTGATAGAATTTTCTTGAATTAATAAATTAATTACTTAAAAATTGCATACATAATTCACTTTAATACATATTATAAATTTGATATAAAATTGCTATGTATTATAAATGATAATAAATAAAAAATATCGCTAAAAACAATAATTATTTATTAAAATGTACCTATCCAAACAATTTTTCCATAGAGGAGGAAGACCAACTTCAATATATGCGAGAGAAATGATGAAGTCGATAAAAAATTTGGCCAGAGTATACATCAGATACCAAGAAATTATATTAGTTAGATTACCTATTTTATTATTTTCTTAGACATTGTGAAAAACAATATTAACAAAAACAAAAGTTTGTAATAGAGTACTTAGCTAATAGAAGCATGCCATATGTATAGTTAGGATACCTGTTTTGGAGAAGAAATGAGTACACAGAGAAAATTTCCCAATATTGTTTCTAATAGTTACTAATTATTAATTTCATATACCTCAGAGGTAAATATATCCATATAATGTATTTTTGCTACCAGGTACATTCTAAAATATAGATAGATAAAGAGGAAGGTGTATGAAATAGAAAAGAAGCGGGTGAGAGGGTCTTTGCATTCCATATAAATGTAAATCACATTAGACACATGCATTCGAGATACTGGATACATTTTGAAATACAAATACAAAAGGAAAAGGGCGAGCGAGAGATGAATGAGTCCGAGTGGGAGAGTTTGTGTACCTTAGATACGTGTCGATCTTATATGAAATAAATTAAATTTAATTTTTACCTCATTTATTTGAAATACATGTATCTAAACACGCCGATTATATGTATCTGGGATCAAAATCAGACATAAGTGGTAATTTTAAAACCTCACATAAAGACACACAATTACGTCGTAAAATTTATGTTGTAACGCCTTATACAAAATGCTTAAGGGCTATTCCTTTGAATATACAAATTCTTATGTAGATTTTGGTATAAGCTACAGAGAGAGGAGTGAAAGAGACAAAAGTGATGGGGGTGATTGTTTTACGAATATATATATAGTGAAGTAAAAAATGACTAAGTTTCGAAAAAACAATTAATCTTATGATTTAAGAAAAATCGATCTTTCAAATTAATAGAGTTGCCACTTAATTTTTTAGTAAAAATCAAGAAAACTTAAAATTATTTTTCAAAATATTTAAAACAGATAAAAATCAGTTGAAAAGGGTGCGAAGTTCAAATGTACATTCCGAGAAGGTGTTAGGCCCTCAAAATGTCCGCTAACTCGCGGTTGACCGGCGATTTGACTTAAACAAGCTTTTAAAAATAATTTCTCAAATATTGATTAAAGCAAAGGAAATAAGAAATTTTATTATTATTATCTAATTATTATTTATTTTTTGGAAAAAGGGAAATTATTTAAAGGGAGGAATGACATAAAAGGGTAAAACAAAAAAGGGATAAAAGCTAAGTGACTTGTAATATATATATATATATATGTATGTATGTATATACAAAGTTTAGTCAAAACAAAACATCACAAATAAGAAAAGGGAAAAGAGTATTAAATTTGGGCCTTTGGCCCAAATATTTATAACCTGTCCTAAATCTAAAGGGAAAAATTAGTAAACTAGTCAAAATAAATAACATATTAAGTAAAAATATCCATACTTTATAAATATTAGCAATAATGTCAAAAATGTCATTATTTTAAAAAATTTATGTGTCCCAATTTTCTTCCTATTTTATCTCTCTTTTTCAATTAATTCTTATCATTCTCTCTCATATTTATCTTTTCAAATTGTTAATTCTCTCTCCCATTTAATTTTTTTTCTCTCTCATGGTTATCTTTTCTGATTTTCCTCCAACATTCAAGTTGCAAATATTTTTTTGCCATATATTTTGATTGTTTTTTTAATTCAAAATTGAATCAACAAGAATCTCTTTGATTAAGGTATCTCTAATCTTTATCCTATTTTCATATTTCTTTTCTAATTTTATTTTTGTTTAAATCTTAAAAAATGTTGTTTATATTTTTCAATTTCCGTTATGATTTACTCTCCAATGGCTGAATCCAAGAGGCTTACTAGAGGTATTCATCTTAATCAACCAATTTCTAGTGATTTTTCATCCTTTAATTTATTTATTACTTAATAAATAGTGTATAATGTATGATCCGCTGCTAAAATGAGGGAAAAAAGAGGGTAAGAACATTTACAAGACTCATTGGTGTGCAAAACCTTCCTCAACTTCAGAACGCAAATGTAGAATCTTTGTCTACTCATGAGGATCTTGAAAAAGATGACGAAGATCGAATAGTTGTCGAACAATTTTCTATTAGTTTATTTTGTATTTATAGTTCTTTTTTAGAATTTAGTATGCTTTCTTAATTTGTATTCAAATCACTATGTATACTATCAATGTTTGTATTTATTAAAAATTTCATGTTGCATGGTTTATGAATCTTGTATTTGTCCCTAATTTGTATTCATCCAAATGTATGCCAACTAGTTATGTATTTTATTTATAAGAAGAACAACTTTCTATTAGTTTATTTGTATTCGAATACAAATACAAATACATATTGGAACGAATACGA